CTCGAGAGACCAGGAAAGTACGGATTTAGATCTAGTGTCTACCAGCGTCCGCCTTATTCTCTAGATACTAGGAAAGTAGGGATATGGGTCTAGCGTCCACCACCGACCACGGAGAGTATGGGGATGCAGGAGTAGTTGATCGAGGATGGGGATGTAGGAGAGTAGAGACAGCTAGATTAGGCGTCATGGAATTTAGACGTGTGCAAACGCACGTTCTACTACACAATACCGTATTCATGGTCGCTGGTGGACGCTGGTAGATGCTGGATCGCTATCCATGCTTCCCTAGTCTCCGAGACACTGATTTGCGCTGGTGGATGCTGCCGCAGAGTATGGACGCAGTCTTATGCAACCTGTAGGATTGATTCCTATACGTCAGCTTTCAAGAAAGACACATTCCGCGCTGGTCATCTGGGCGGAGTCACTTTGAGCAGAGTGTCATTAGGATGCTAGGAGGAGAAGTGCACCAATGAGGACAGCGCGATACAAAGTAACCCCACCCATATGGTGAGCGCCGTATTAGCCTATGAAGCGAAATGCACACTTACCACGGCGACTCCTTCGAAAGCGAACATGACGGTGCCGAAGAAAAGCGGCAGTGTTGTCCAGTTGGCGACAGCTGGTAGTGAACTGGAGGGACGATCGTATTGGAAGAGCTGCTGCAGTACGATGCAGACCGCTATCAGATAGACGACATTTGCTATAGCTGCTGGTGGAGCCAACGCCTAAACAATTTCTGTATAGTCTATGTCTTAGGACTAACAGGGGCGTTGCGGAGCGAGAATAGCAGTTTTAGTGAATTGTCCAATAGGTGAAAAATCATAGAATTTGATCCAACCTTCAATTCTCTGATTGTGCAGAGCGCCATGATTGGAACAATTAGCAGAGCAATCCATCCAGCTTGTGAAATATGGATTTGTGAGGTTTGGTCGAAGAACTAAACACTGCAGACCTCCTTAGAGAATATTTAACCACGACCTCTTCATGCTTACAAACCTGTCATACTGTATTCGGGGTTTGGTCCGCAGCGACCGAACACGCCCACTTTCCGCTTGTCTGGCTCCTCCCTCCGTAATAGTGTATGGTATAATTTTGTGCGGCGGAGACGCAGACGAGCAGATAGTGAAACTATGATCTAGTCCTGCTCTCGCTACCCTCTCCTCACACTTCGAGCCCCGCCCCCCGACTGGTGCCCACCGATCTCATACCGTCCGGTAATTTTGAGATCGCATCTTTTGAGGTCGTAAGCGAGGGTGGGGGTTAGTGGTCTGTGAGAGTTCAGCCATTCCGCTACTGACTTACCCTTAGAGCAATATTTAGTCCATTTGAGTTCTCAACGATTTTATCATTATCACTGATTATTCCGTGAACCGATGCTAAAAATTGACTGGGTTCAATGCCTGACGATCCAAGAAGTGTTTAATACAACACAGGGTACAGCATCGTGATGTGTGAAATGGTGGTGTAGGTACGACCCCCCCCCCTCCGAGAGAGGGTGTCAGTACGACCCCCACCTAAATGAGGGTCTCGGTACGACCCCCCCCCATCCCCAGCACCTCCTAACCTACTTACCAATTTCCCACATTTTCCAGTTTTTCACCCAAAGATTTCCGTCGAGCGGGTGGGGCGAGGGACCCAACAGTGACCAAATACGACTTCACCCCCTCTCCAGCGGAAAAGTACGACTTCCTATGTGTCACACAACGACGCTGCACCCTGATCCCAAATGCTCAAGCAAGAGCTATAAAGCCGACACGGTGTACCATGTTAACAACGGATCGGCACGGTGTTTAGTGGGAGTGTATAGCGCTTGGCGCAACTAGTATTCCGCTAACGTCACTGTTCGGCAAACCGCTCCCAGGTGGCACAACTCGTCCGAAGTGTCCATTACAGCACTCGTACAATATGGTGATACGGACGAGTTGTCCACCTTACTAGACACGTACCAGAACCTGTTATGGCATGTCAACGGCAACCGCAACGCGCCAGACGACTGCCTGCCGTTTAGTGGTGATCATTTACGCCAGTTATAGTACTTTTGGTGTGGGTTATGGGTGAAGCCGCACGAATACGCATGACGAACCTTCAGATTTTCCCTATTCACACATCTATCGATGGATTAACTGGTCACCTGTTTCAGGTTATCCGCCATGAAAACAAAATACACGCAACAAAAACCGAATTGCGCCATGAACATGTTCGTGTTGACAACTTGCCTGAATGGTTACCACATAGAATCGGCTAACTTCCAGCTGAACAGGTAATTTTGGCTTACTTCCAGAAATAACCATGATCTCGTATCCACGGTGGGCCAATCTCAACAGCTGAGCGCATCACATTCGCGTAATCTAATCGTGGTCGGGCTTTTCTGGGAAATATACCGTACTCAAATTAGATGTGAGAGAAACAAAGAAGTACAGGCGCTAATGTAAGTTGGTTTTACGAGTGGCCTGGGTGAAACCACTCCGCTCTCTGCTCGTCTGCGCTCTCTGACACTGGTGGGCCGCTAGACGAGCACTATCTCGTTGAGAGGACGCAGACGAGCATAAAAAGACGCGGATGGTCTAATTTGGCCCTCCATCAGCAAAACTCTGAACCGTAATACTCACACATAACCGATGTAATGTTGTGCAAAGACGAGTTGTCGCGTACAGTATATGCAGACCAAACAAATAAGGGCCAGTAAGACCATCCCAAGCTGAGAACATAGTGGTTTCAGTAAACAGTAATACAAAGTGAAACAATTTTTTAAAGGTTAGAACGTGCTAACCCATAATCCAGAGTTCTTGAATGCCAATGGGCAGCGATAACATACATAACCGAGTTGCCCATTCATAACCTGAAAATAAAAAACGTTGAATTGTTGAGAACCATCTATAGAAAGGGGAGGGGGGGGGGGAGAGGGGAGCAGGACGGTCTTCGATGAAAATATAAAGAGGGACAGGGAGCACTCTGCAGGGCCTTCGACCTAGTAGGAACAAAGTGTTTGTGTCGTCGGTAATTCAGGCGAGGCCGCATCAGGAGCCGTGAAATGGGTCCACCCGCAGCGTTTTCTGCCTCTGGTTGTTTCCTACCTGAGCCGCCCCCCACTGGTAGGGAATGTTGCTGCAGGCGGGCTCATTCCAGGCCTCCGAACCTAACTTGCAAGCCTGCAACGATATAAACTACGTATAGCGTAAAACGTGAAAAATTAACTTTTCAGAAAATTTTCTCCCAGATCGAAAATATCAACCGAACACCACATCCATTTCTCGCTACGCTGGAGCTTTCCCAAAGTACATGTGCCCTGGTAGCATCCCCTTTTTAAGCCTGCGCCTGAGGTCTTTGTGGCAGAACCATGGCAAAAACTCAAGTTGTTCAAAAAAATACCTTGATCATATGGACGAGAGCCTGATCGGCTGTAATCGATCCTCGTTCTCTGATACGTGGGGCAAACAGCTCGGCCATCGTCGGTTCCCTCGAAAATATTAATTATTATTCTGATTCCTTATAAAGATAATCACAAAAATCGAACACACCTGACCGTATTGATAGAAAAAACCCAATTAAATAATGATTTTAATATTCTATATGATAATATGACTCGAAAATAACTCCGAAATGCAAAAATTACCCAAAGTAATTGGGCAATATTTCGAAAAAAATTAAGGGCAATTAAAGGCACTTTGCTGAAGCAATTCAAATTCAAAAGCACTAAATATGAATATGATAGTAAAACTACTTGGTTTTCCACTTATCAGAGACATGTAGATTTTTACAGCCGAAAAAATGCAGTCATAAATAAAAAGTAGTAGTAATTCAGTCCTTACCCTAGATATGGATAAAGCATTGTCGACTTCTGAAAAGGGTGATTGCTTTGTCTAACGATGTTGGGGAGACCGACAAGGCAATAAGTAAGATCAACTAGATTTTGGACTTCGGACAGGGCAGATCATAACTTCCCAAATCAGAGCACCTGCTACGATTGGGGAAAGTTTTTGCAAGATACGACCCCCCCCCTCCATCCTCAAGGCTTCCTCCTCTCGTATGACCCCCTTCCCTATCCCTCATTCATTTACCTACCATCTTCCTGAACACTATCACTTCTTCCCTATGAAATCAAAAAAAGTGCACACCATCGTTGGGGAATCCCCAACAGGGAGAGAGGAGGACTCGTAATTGTTCGCTGGGTGAGGCGGATGGATTGTATTTGGTCTAAGAAATTTTTTGATAGTTGATTTTTCTTGGTCAACTACAGTACTAGAAAGCAAGTACGATCCCTCTCTGCAGTGATCAAATACGACCCCCTTCGCTGGGGATCCCCAACGTACAACGTGCCTTGCTCCGAATCTTTTCGAGTCACTATCCATGAGCGCGAGTGCTGTGTAGTGACAAGTGGCGCGCCTCACACACTCGCCCGGCGCCATTTTCAGGTACCGTCGACTCCCGCCCAGGCCAACCAAGCCTTCTACCCTCCGGGGACGGTAAATTGGTACCAGATTCGTCTGGGAGGATAAAACACTGACTTGTACATCGGCTGGCCACCGCAAGTCATTGTATAGGCCACATCGCATTCAATAAGCCACTACGATTCTGAATGGAAGTAGAATGCGTGCCGCATCCCACAAAGGGATTGATCAACGGCGAAGACTTTATCCTTTATCCTTTTATCCATAGGAATTCTTTCGTTTCAGAGCACTTCATTTTCATTCATTCACTTTTTATTTTTTTCAGTTTACTTGTATGAACTAGTTCAACCTCAGGGGCATTGAAGGACTCTTTGTGCAAAGATGGGATTTCCGTCATAGAGATGCGGAGATAAGGTATTGCCTGAGCCTGTTGCCTGAGGGGGTTCTACTTTGAAATTGCTGGCCAATCCAAAGAGGGGGGGGTACTTCTATACGGATGACATTAGCTGTGACCTACTTCTATATGAATGACATTGGCTGTGGCATTACTTCCACTCTTCTTCAACGGATTCCTTCAAATGCCCCTTCACCCCCTTCCCCTTCCTCCGAGATTATCAGTCATTTTATTTTCTATGCACCCGAAGAAGCGCTGCATGTTTCGGTAAAATAAATCGAGATAGCAGTTGGTACAGTTGCAGCATTCGGTAAAAAACATCTTGCAACAAGAACCTACTTTTATCTTTTACTACAAACAGGGCCGAGGTGGCGCCGTGGCAGTGGACACACCAACCACGCTCTCGGTCCGGGGGAATCCGCCGGATTGGTCCGCCCGGCCATCCAAGCCTTCTTTTCTGGGCAGTAACTTGGTTCTAGAGTCGTGTGGAAGGAGAAACATGACACTGGTACGTCGACTGGCCTCGCAATTCATGTACAGTCTTGTTCGTCGCGAATCCAGGGCGTGTAAAGGGGCCTGGGTTGAGCGCGGCGCCAGCGCGTTCAGCGCCAACTGCTGAAGCGTAAGCGAAAACAAGAGGTGGGAAACGGTTCTGGCGCCGCTACAAACACACTTCCTCCAATCCCCGTAAACAAGACGAATGTGTGGGTCATGTCGTATTCACTTCACCACTACGATAGCGAATGGAAGTAGAATGCGGGCTACATCCAATAAATCGACCAACGCGCACGTTCACCCTTGTGTTTAGTGAACTTAACCTAATAAAATGAGGCCACTCCACGGCTTCGCTAGCTCCTGTTTATGTGGCTTTGGAGGCGGAGGTGGTGTAGTGACAAGTGGCGCGCTCACCACTCGCGCGGTCCTAGGTTCGAATCCCGGGTCGACTCCTGCCTAGGCCAACCAAGCCTTCTATCCTCCGGGGACAGTAATTAGTGCCATATTTGACTGGGAGGGTGGAACACTGACTTGTACATCTCCGCAATTCATTGTGTAGCCATAGCCTTCAGTAAGCCACTACGGATTCTGAATGGAAGTACAATGCGTGCGGCATCCCACAGAGCGATTGATTAACGGCGAAGACTTTATCCTTTATCCTTTATTGGTTTTGGCCAGGGAGAGGTTGAACTGAACACGGTCGAAGCAATAGGGCTGTTCGTTACGCCGGGAGGATAACACCAATAGACAAAATAATCAGCAAATTGGATCTTCTGGCTAACCGCTCGATTTGTTCTAGCGGAGGAGATATCTTCAAAGAATTTTTCTCATTAATGCACTTTGGTAAAAATTCCATCTGTTCATGATGCATTGAAAAAATCAGGTTCCAAAAATAATGAAACTGAATCGAAGGAAATATTGAATATTTATTATATGCACACCTTGGACGACGAAGCGGCTGTAGTTCGTTGCCGTTCATTGTACCAACCGACGACACCGACATTACCTGAAATTGTACGTAAACACACTATACCCCGGAGATGAGGGGGCGTGGCTGTATACCAACAAGGCACATGACACGTGCTTTAAGGGATATTCCCATTTTAGACATTTGTCATGCCGTTCCATGCGAGGCGAAGTCTTGATAACAGTTGTTTCGAAACGACAATATTCCTTCAAAAGAGCAGCAACGCCATATTCAAATGAAGTGCGCAGTCCCACCCTCCTCATATCCGGGATATGGAGGCTCCATGCAACTGTGTATCGTTCCAGTAATTTTCCATTGGTCCAAAAAGCTATTTACGTTTTCCGTTCTTACTTTTTCACAAGCAACGATATTTCAATCGGTAATGTTTTTTTTCGAAATAGTCGAGTAGTTTTGCCTACTTCAGTCGTCATCTAAGTTCATCCCAGAGGCTGACTACCTCTTGATTTCAGTTCAACGAGTTTTTCAATCATCAAAATACTTTCACTTTCGAGATGCTTTCCACGCTGATCATATGGGCGGGATGACTTAGAGAATGGCATCTCTTCATATATACGCTCCACCTTTCCACCATCTTGACTGCTTGGGTCTATCAATGATAAGAATGCAGCGATTTAAAGGCAGCGCTCGCGTTCATTCGATGTTCCTACACCCTCCTTAGATATCGTAGCTCTGTCGACAAGGGTGGAGGATGGGGCCACCCGCTTGTGAATGGGAGACCGCCCCGCCCACCTAGCAGCCATGCCTGCTTTGGCTTAGCCTTTAAAGGCTGAGCCCGCTTTTAAGAATGACGAGTCATGGAGCTCATATAATACGTGATCCAGTAGAAGAAAAAACATGGAAAATGCCCTAAATAGAACCCTATGCTGGCCAGGTGGGCGGGGCGGTCTCCCCTTCACAAGCGGGTGGCCCCATCCTCTCGTACTTTTGAGCTGCGAAATTAGTACATCCTCCACCCTTGTCGACAGAGCTACAATATCTAAGGAGGGCGTAGGAACATCAAAGGGCCTTTAAGTGACTCCACTAGTGCGAATGGCGTGAGAAATGCCTTTAGGAATTATCCGAGAATTTTAAATAAATGGCAGACAAGGGAAGAATCTAGGTGAGGATTATTTCTGGCTAGTGGAGATCTTCTCTTTCTACGGCACGATTTACTCTTCAATGCTCCATTTTTTGCAGTTTGAGCATGAAACCTCTTTTGCTAGAAACCAGCTTGACTGCGTGAATGGGCAAATCTCGTTTTTTTTGGCTCGAAAACGTCTGGCATCCGGGCCGGACGGTTTGCAAATATTTCACCCTGCGGGAGCTCCCTGGCCTACACAGAAGCCGTGTTCAGGAGCTCAGCTTACCCTGGAGTACGGGCTTCTATCCATATCCCACTACAGAAATTTCCCGACGGGAATTTTTTTCTTCGCGAAGGGGGGATTGGCCTAAGGGAACATTTCGCGGATTCTGTCGAAAACTTCGTAGGTAATTGTCTTGAGAAACGTAAGTGTAACGGTTAGTTGACTCCTCCGTGAAGAAAAAAAGCAGAAGAATCCGTCGAAACTCCCCAATTAAGACCCGTTTCTGCTTCAAAGGCAAATATATCAGGATTTCGAGCAAGATGACAGACACCAACGCTGCCAACGGCTGGGTCGCTTGGTCAACCTTGCGCCTCAACGCCCTAGCCTTACAACTTTGTAGCGCAAAACTTTACACTTCGATTCTTACGAGTGATTGCAGAATGTGCCGCTAAATACGTGAGAAAGTCAAGAGTGAAATACCACAATATGGTCCATTAAGAGGCGCTAATGCTAAAGTACACAACAAAGAAATGTGCATATGCAGTTTGAGTGAATTAGACTGCGTTTATACTTTGCGGCAGCGTACGCCAGCGTATGAAAAGTATATGATGACGTTATGATAATTACCAGTAGAAACTCGTACAAACACGCCTTCTTTTCATTGCATGCACGTACAGTTGGTCGGCATGGAGTCCTATTAAAGGCACTTCGGATTGTTTTATTCTGTATTTTTTTCTCTAATGTTCAGTCACCTAGCACTTTGTTTGGAATCTATCAAGGTGGGCGGGGTCGCTTGAACAACCTACTGCCTTATCCCGGCTACCTTACCACTTTCCAACGTGAAACTCACCCAGAGTTGTTTGTTGGAGTCCTCACTATTTCTCCCTACAAATAGCTAT